TGCAGGAAAATCAGGAAGATGGTGTAACAGAGTTCTCACAGTGCATGTGGTCACCCTGACTCATCACTGCGGACTCCGACCCTGATCACCCAGCTAGGTTTCTTCACTCCACAGTTACTATTTTTCTCCCCTTTCCACAGTCCTCTGTGGGAGGAAGTCATTGTGCACAGCTCATACTTAAGGAGTGAGGGTTAGGTTTTCCTCCTTGGGGTGAGTATCTACATCATTTATTTGGACAGCGTTTTAATTGTTAAAAATAAACTGAGAGTCAGATCAGTAACATAGTCTAGAATGACCATGGAAATGATTCTGGGGTTCTAAGGAATATAGATTGAAAACCAGTGACCAACTCCGTGTGGGAAGACTCTGGGCATGCAGCCCGTGGAGTCTTACATGTATTGTAACATGTAAAGGTTGCGAGAGTCAGGCTCTGGGACTAACTGGTCTTGGAAAGTTGACCCAGTGCTCTGCTGGTGTTGCCTGCCCGACCCCTGGTCTTGGGAGCCCACCCACACCCATGTTTGCTCAAACCACTGAATTCTGCAAGCTAAGACTGAAAGCTGCAGTTACCAAAGGGCTGTGGTCTGACTCAGGAGGAGACGTGTTTTCTGGCGGGTGAGTTTCCAGCACTCTCCGAGGGAGGTTTGTCTAAGCTGTGGTTGCTTATGCTCACACATTCTCACTGAGGCTGAAAGATGAGCTTGTCATTATCACTGAGGAAGTGGCACTGTTATTACTACCCTTACTCAGTCTCAGAGCACAGAGCAAGCAGGGAGCGCACAGCCTGCACGCAAACTCTGTCCAAGGAAAGGCGGGGGACAGGTGAGCAGAGCAGAGGGAACCCCAAACACCCAGTGCGTGTCTACTGCAACACTGCCCAGAGCAATCTCGCTTTTTGTGCCACTTTCTCTCCCGCGGCCGGCCACTTGAAGTCGTGTCTTCCGAACTGGCTTTCCAAGGCCCATCTGCCCCCGGGCCGTTCACGTCTCCCTCGCGGTACGGAGGCACAGCTGTTCGTTCCCCATGCCTCTTCCCGAGCTTGGGACGCCCACCTTCTCCTTCTCATCCGCCTGAGCTCTGCAGTTTCCTAGTCCTGCACCTGAACTGTGGTGCTGTTCCGTGCACAGACTGCTTTCATCTTCCATTGAACGATAAACGGGACACTCCAACAGCAATGAGGAAAGTTAAAGTGAGGCCGAGAACGTGGAGCCCATTTGGGCCAACAGGATCACCGCCGGGGGAAGGCCCCAGCTTCCCCAGCGCCCACGCTGGCAGAAGGCTCGCTCGGCATGGTTAGACTACAGCAGGACAAGGTGCTCGGATTGTCAGCTTATCAGCGTCCGGTGAGCTTGATTACACCAACAGCACCGGATGGTTAAGCCAAACCGTGGGCTGGGAATAAAAACCGTGCGTTGTTTCCCTATCTGGACAAACAGGTTCAAGTGAAGTTTGAAGCTGAGGAACGATGATTTCACAAGACTTCAGATTCCCACGCAGACCACGAACGCATAACCAAAGTTATATTCCTTTTTTTTTTTAAATTTTAACAGACTTTATTATTTATTTTTTAAAGACTTATTTGAGAGGGAGAGTGTGGGCAAGTGGGGTGAAGGGGCGGAGGGAGAGGGAGAATCTCCAGCAGACTCCCCTCTGAGCAAGGATCCCACAACTCTGAGATCACGACCTGAGCTGAAATCTAGAGTCAGATGCTTCACCCACTGAGCCACCCGGGCACCCCCCAGACTTTATTTCTTAGAGCAGTTTTAGGTTCACAGCAAAATTGAGCAGGAAGCACATCCCTTTTTAACAGCCATTTACGATACAACTGAAATTTACCCAAACATCCCACAGCCCTTAATCCCTTTCCGTAAGAAGACTTTTGATGTTCACTTAACTAGCTCTCTCTCTGGGGATCTAGAACTGGGTACAATCACAGTATCATTTAAAACTGCATCCTCACCACATTTTCTCAAGGGACCACAGGCCGCTGGGCAAGTCGGCCCTAGGGAGCCCCTGCCACCCGGGGGTTCCTGTGCTAACAGGAGTAGACATGTGTAAGTTTGCCTTTCCCGCCCCTCAGAGCCTCTCTCCACGTGGGGTCCCTCCTCTCTCTCTGATCCAGGGGGCTGCTTTATGGCGGAGGCGCGAGTGGACCCATGACCGCGGGAGCCCACCGGGAGCTGCAAGCTGGAAGCAGGCGCAGCGCATCAGAGACCTGGACGCGACGCTGTGTCCCCAGAGAGAAACGTGCACACGTGCAGTCTCTGCAGCTCGGGGCCCGATTCCCCGCTACAGACCCTGGCTGTCCCGGACACAGGTCGCACGCAGCGGGCGGGACGCACGGGAAGGACACCCAGGCTGGTGGTCCCAGAGCGTCCCGGGGAACGGGAGTCAGGCTCCTGCCCCCGCCGGGGCCTCGCAGAGACGGAGCGGGGTGCGAAGTCGCGGCCTCCTGGACTTGCTCCGGGTGGACACGACGGTGGGCGGCCTCGCAGCCCCTTCCCGGAAGGGGTGCGGCCACGTCGAACTCCCAGCTACCGAGACGGCGGACGAAGGCTGGCGGCCACGCTCGCTCCAAGGCCCTTCGAGGCACGGCTGCGGCCCCGGAGCTGGCTCGAGCGCACCCGCCCTACGCGCCCGCGCCCGCGCCCACCTACCTCCCGTTGGGCAGCTAGGGCCTCTTTAAAACCGACCAATCACAGAGGGTTCCGAGGCCTCCGCGCTCCACCATTGGTCCGGCTGGGAGGTGGAATCGTCATCACGCCAATGGGAGGCCAGCGGCTGGCAGGGGCGGAACTCCGTCCGGGTCGCACCGCCCTGACTGCGCGTGCGCGAGGGCAGGAACGCGATTTCCCCCCCCGATTGGCGGCGGGGCAGACGGCGCACGCCGGGGGCGGAGCCGGACCCACGTCTGCGTGACAGTTGTCGCGGGGGGGAGGGCGAGCCCAGACTAGGGGGAGGGAGTGTAAATAGAGCGAAGGCGGCGGCGTGTCGATCCCGTCACCTCCCGGGCGACCCGCGAGAAGCCCCGGAGGGAGATGGAAGAAGATGAGCAAGAGCAGCGGCGCAGAAAGGTGGAGGCCGGGAGAGCGAAGGTAAACGGCAGCGCCTCCTCCTCCCCCGGCTGTGCCAGCGTGGGTTTCCAAGGGCAGGTTCCGGTGACTGCGTCTGTTCCGTGCTAGGAGCGGATGCGGGCAGGCAGGGACCGCCGCCAGAGTCTTGCCCTTCCCGCCGACTCGGCTGGAAGCCGCCTCCTGGCCGCCGCCATCTTGAATCGGCCGCCCTCTGCCCGGCCCCGCCCCTGTGGCGGCCGCAGCCAGTCACCGGCTGAGGACGTGTGGGGTGGGGGTGGGGTGGCGCGAGGAGGCCCGGCGCGGGGCAGGCCGGGTTCGCGGGGCTGCGCCTGCGC